ATAGAAAATAGTAGTTGTTAGATTTGCAACAAGTGGTGAAATCTGGTGAAGAGAGAGTAAAAGGATGTTTGGCACGAAAAAGGGAGGAGAAAAACCTCCTCCACCACTGGCGGCACCACCAGCAGCAACATGTTACACAAGGTGGGCGGCGGTACACTGCCCGGGGTGGCAGTGACCTCACCAGCCCAGCGCGTGCGTTGCTGGCCTAGACTGTAGATGCCGGGCTACCCTTCCGCGCGCAGGCCTCAGGCGCGTAGGCCTATCCACGCAAGCCTGCTGCGCAGACAGCACGTGCACAGTGTGCAGTGCCTGCTTGTCTACATGCGATGTGATGCGCGCAGATGAGTCTCACCTGCGTGCGACTAGGCACGCGTGCAGGCCTATCCTTTGCGCCACGCACAATGGGACGTGCAAACTGTGCGAACATTCTGCACCTGTCGTGAACGCACATGCGCACGGACTAACGCGCGGGCAGTCCATTCTCATAGGATTTTTCTCTTGGGATTTTTTCCCCCGTTTTCCGTTTTTCTTTAAATTCGTTTATTTTAAAAAAATGACGATTAAATAATTAAATTAAAATAAAATTAAATAAAATCAAAATAAATAAAAATCAGCATAATTTACGAATTACGATTAGAAGTTGTGGAATAAAATAAATGAATTCAGTGTGGCCTTAAAGCCTGAATAATTTAGGTTTTCCAAATACAAATTAAGCACAGTCGTGAGCGAGGTGTTGTAGGGTCTGTACATCTATATCACAAATATATGAGTGCACATTTTTAAGATAGGTACATGAATTAAAAAACATATTAAATTGATATAAACATGTTGTACACGCAATAGAGTGACCGAACAATATAGACTGAGGAACCTTACCACGTTAGTCATAGATTTAAAGCAAATAAATTATAGTGAGCAGGATAGTGAATAAATAAGTAAAGGAAACAACTGAAAAAATAAATACTGCAATTAAAACTCAAACAAGTATAGACTGATCGGTTACTTGCTTTATTGGCCATCAGTACTTAATTAATTAAAGGACTGCAGATTAACTAAGATTTTCGTTTATTATCAATTTAGCTTCAATTTAGCCATAACAGGGAAAAGAGGTGAGGGATCTTTATCCCGGGTCGGTGTCTGGAACACCATTTTTTTCACTACGCTTCCCAATAGTTGCCGATTCCTGGATTTCTTAGGTTTTTTTGCTAAAATCAAAACTTACGTCAAAATAACATGGAAATACGCGAAAAACGGCCAAAAGGGGCAAAAAGAATCTCATCGGGGTCAGTCTAGGGTTTTGGCCGCCGTGCTGCGCCACTGGTTCTGCCTTCTACGGCTTCTCCTCTCGATTAGGCTAGTTTCAAGCGGTTCTGGGTGAAAATATGCTCAATTCGTGGTTAGGCGGCGTCGATTGGTGGAAAAAGGAAGAAAACTGAGACTTGTGTTTTCAACTGGGCTCCGCCGCTCGTCCTTTGCGGCTTATTGGGTCACCCTACACTGTAAAATATGTTAGATGGCCGAGGGTTGAGAAACAGAAGTAACGGGAAAGAATTTCTTTATGGAAGTGTTTTTCAATTTCGGTTGCGGTAGCTCGGTCGAGCTCCGCCCTTCGTTTACTGCTTTTTCTCGAGTTTTCTTGCATCAAGAAGTGTTTTGGATAGTTTAGAATGGAAAAACAGGAAAAACAAGAGAAAATCGTGCTTACCAGCATCGATTTGGATCTCTGATGCAGCGGCGATGGTGGTTGGCTTCTCCTCTGGCCGCCCTTCTTCTTCTCTGGCGAGTAGGTGTGCGGCTAGGGTTAGAGTTTCGGTGAAAGAGGAGTTTAAATACTCCTCTTCTCTTGATTTGCGCTGTCCATTCGGGGCTACGTGGATTGATCTCAGCCGTAAGATCCCATTTATTCGAGAAACAAATCCGAACCATTTAATTAAAGGCACGCGGACCATTTGATTGCGCCTCATGGGGGAATGGATATGGGCTATTTGTACACGCTGGAGCGACTACGTGCCGTTGGATTGTTTGGCATGTGAATTACCTGCGTGGTCTCCTGCGTGGAACGCGTGCTAGCGTGTTCACCATGCGGCGCACAACGACTGACCGTGCTACTAACGTGGCTGTCCTACATGACCGTTTTCCCCATTTTTGCACTTTGGCTCTTTCAATTTTTCTTTTTAAATGGGTTCTCCGTTATTTTTATTTTGGATCCTTCATTTTGAAATTGTTTTCAAAAACATCCAAAATGCAAATATTTAAAAAACAATTCTAAAAAATTAAAATTAAATATTTTATTATTATTCTTAAAATTAATTTATGCCATCTCGAGTCTAAATTTCTGGCGTGGGATATTACATATTTTGATCAGTGTCAATACAAAATCCATAGTTGTGCACTTAAGATAGGAGTGATCTTGATCTAGTTATGCATCAAATAGTTTTAGTCTAGGACTTGAATGAGAATAGAATAGATCTGAATCAAACAAAACTTTGTGGTCATGATATTTTTAAAATTCAACACCCTTAGCTTTCCTGCTTATGCTGGATTAAGTATTGTAAAGCATTTATACTAAAAAATTGAAACACATAAACATCAAAAGTGGTGTTTTTTAGTGTAAATTATAAATAATTTTTACGGATCAAATAACTATATTTAGGACTTGAGTGAGAATAATTAGTTTAAACCAAATGCAATTTAAGCTTGGTAGTGTTGCATTGTCCATATGAAGGGAAAAGTCAAAATCTAATTTGCCTATGTTTGTTGGAAGTATGATGATAAATGCTTCTGTTTTCCATTATCAAGAAAAGGTAATAAATCCTTCACATTACCCCAGATTATTTTTGAGATAAAAGAGAGAAATGCAATTAAAATGGACGTCAGGAGACGTAATATACAAGAAAGAGGATTTAGAGCTCAGTGAGAATATTTACAATCGAACCTAAATCCTCAAAAGAGTCAAGATTGTGGCCAAGTACAATAGTACCAAAAAGTACAGCCACCTATTCTTTGATAAAATCAAAATTTGTGTCTTTACCCTCAAATATCCTATAATTTATTTCTTTCCAAATGATCCGTAAAATAGTTAATGGGATTACTTTATGCCATCTATTCCTTGTTTTAAGCCCTTCCCAAGCCAGCAATTGATCCTTAACAGATCCAGAAATAACCCAGGAGATGCCAAGAAGCTTGTAGATCATAGACCATAGCTCAAAGGCAACCAGACACCAAAGAAGGTGGTTACAAGACTCATAGTTTCTTCTGCACATAGTACACCAGTTAACCATGGCATAACCTCTTTTCATGAGGTTATCAATGGTGAGAATACAACCCAAGAGGCTTCCCAAGCGAAGACAGAAATTCTGGGAGAAACATTGTAATTCCAGTTAATCTTGCGAGGGAAAACAATAGCAGAATCCGCGCTAGCAATTAAGAATTTATAGAAGGATTTAACTGTAACGGAGCCTTTTTTTACACAAATTCCAGCATAATTTATTAGGCTCAGTCCCCATATTCACATCAGCCAGCAACCGGTGCAGATTCACATATTCCATCACCTCTCAATCTTTTGAATTTCTTGTGACAAATACATCCTAAACCAGGGGGTTGCTGATCTGTAAGCTTTTTCTAGAAGCATGTTTTTGTCTTTGGCAATAGTATAAATGTGAGGAAACTGATTTTGCAGACTTAACTGACCACACCAAATATCCTGCCAAAACCTGATCTTGTCTCCTTTTCCGGCCACCCATTTACAGTTGTTCCATACAAGCTCCTTGGAAGTCATAATGCTCTTCCAAAGACTGAAACCAAAAGAGTTCCTATTAACATGACTATAATCAGACGTATCGTTGCCAAACCATTTACAAGCAATAACTCTCTTCCACAAGCTGTCATTATCATTCCAGAACCTCCAAATCCATTTGCCATGTAAAGCTTTGTTAAGACACAATATTGATCTTATGCCTAAGCCACCATCTTTGGTCTGTTTTTGGATATGCTCCCATTTAACTAAATGGAACTTCCTCCTCGTGGCGTCATCCCCCCAAAAAAATCTGTATTGAATAGCTTCAAGTTTTTTGGCAACATTTTTGGGAATAGTGAGCCCCAATAAAAAATAAATGGGGAGATTGGATAAGGTGCTTTTGATTAGAGTTAAACGCCCTCCCTTAGATAGGAGTTTACTTTTCCAGCATGCCAGTGTGCTCTAAAACATATCAATAATTGGCTCCCAACTGTTTTTGTCTTTATGTCTAGCACCAAGAGGTACACTCAAATATTTTAATGGAAGTTGGCCAGATTTGCAACCGAGAGCATAAGCAAGAGGACCAGCAGAATTATCCCCCAGATTAATCAGTTCAGATTTATCTATATTAATCTTCAGCCCTGAGACAGCCTGAAAACACAATAAAATGCAACGAAAGCGTAAGATGTTATTAACATTATCTTGACAAAAAAAAAGTGTCATCAGCGAAGAATAAATGTGAGAATTCCAGTTGACACTTATTCTTTCCCACTAGAAGGCCTCGGAACGTCCCAATAGATCGAGCTTGCATTACAAGCTTGTTAAGTGCTTCCATGACAATAATAAATAAAAGTATGGAGAGGGAATCAACTTGCCTTAAACCCCTAATAGCATCAAAAAACTTTGATGGATCACCATTTATCATCACCGCAAAACAGGGGTGGTAGTAATACATTCTCTAATCCAGCTATGCCATTTAGTTCCGAATCCAAGATTCTCAAGCATATGATCAACAAAACCCCAAGAGACATGGTCAAAGGCTTTCTCCATGTCTAGCTTACTTAAGATGCCACTTTTTTTATTTCGGATCACATCATCTACCACCTCATTGGCCATAAGGATGGCATCGGATATTTGCCGACCATGCACAAAAGCTTGCTGATTTTCCCCAATGATCGACCCAAGAATTTTGGACAATCTAGAGGCCAACACTTTAGAGAGAAGTTTGTATGCACAGCCTACCAAACTGATAGGGTGGAAGTCTTTAATTTTTTAAGCATTCTTCCTTTTTGGAATCAAACCATAAAATAGCATTCAGAGATTTGACAAAGGAGGAGTTCTTGTGGAAATCCATGAAGAAATCCATGATATCTTTCTTAACCACACCCCAAAACAGTTGAAGAAATTTCGTGTTAAAACCATCTAGACTTGGAGCTTTATCACCCTCACAGCTCATAAGACAATCATAAGCTTCCATTTCAGAAAATTCAGCTTCAAGTAGGGAAACATCAGCCTCATCCAATCTGTTAAAAAGGCAATTATCCAATTTCGGTCTCCAAGAACAATCTTCGGTGAACAAATTTTGGAAACAATTGCGAGCACTGTCCCTCATATCGTTGTTGCCCTCAATTCTGGAATTGTCAATAAAAAGTTCCTCAACATAATTTATACTTCTGCGGTAGTTGGCCAGGCAGTGAAAATATTTAGTATTTTTATCGCCTTCTTTGAGCCATTTTTCCCTACCATTTTGTTTCCAAGAAATAGCTTCCAGATTGAGTTTGGAGGCTAACTCAAGTTTAAGATTATTCCTTCTTTCTCTGTCAGTAGCAGATAAGCCCAGCTCACCATCCTGCTTATCAAGAATACCATTTTCCTTCATGAGATCACTGATTAGACCATTCTCCACCCTGTCCACTTCTTTAACCCACACTGTAATTTCTTCTTTCAGTTTTTTAAGCTTGCTGGCAAGGCGGAAACTAGGTGTCCCTCTGTAGATAGAATTATTCCACAGATTCAACCATGACCCTGAAACTCTCAACTTTAATACCATTTATTGTCAATTCTGAATGGGGAAGGACCTCATTTGATACCCCCAGGATCTAGAACAATAGGAAAATGATCAGAGAGGGTTCTAGTAAATACCTTTTGAGAAAGATTAGGCATTTCCAGTAGGAGTTCATGGCTGACGAGAAAGCAATCAATCCTTGAAAAGGATGGAATATGTCTGTCATTGCTCCACGTCCAATTCCCCCCTTTCAGCGGAAGATCAACCAGACCGCAAACATCAATAAATTGTTGGAAATCACTAGCTTCAGAAGTAGAGAACAGGTTACTGGACCTCTCTCATCTCCTCGGGGTCATGTTAAAATCTCCACCAATCACACCTTTATTTTCCCATCTGTGGAAGCAAGCTAATATTTCATCCCAAAAGGAGGCCCGCTCCGCGCTGTTGTCTCTACAATACACACCAGTGAAGAACCAATCAGAACCTGTAATAGAGTTGTTAAATAAGCATGATGCGGTAATTTCCCAAAAGAGCATATCTTTGCAATCAACAACGTTTTTATTCCACATAACCAAAATGCCCCCAGCATTACCCTAGCCGGACTAGAAACCCAGCCAATAGAGTTCACATTCCACAGACTGTTAATGATTTTCTCAATAACCTCCTGAATTTTAATTTCTTAAAAGCAGACAATCGTTGATTTGCATCTAGCTAGACACCCTCTAATAGTGTTCCTTTTACTTGGGTCATTGAGACCCCGAACATTCCAAGATATAGTTTTTTCTATCATTGATTCACTGAAGAATTCTCTGCATTAGCTCCCTCTGTATGACCTTCGATTCTGTCATAGTTTATAGAGCACTGGAGTCGTTTCAATTCCCTTGAACCCCCAACTTGCTGCTTATTCTTTCCTTTGTTGTTTAGGGACTATTCTCAGTCTTCTGAGCATTTCTTCTATCCAGCTCAGCAAACAGAGCTAAAGCTCTGTCTTCAATCCCGTCATACGAGACACCAAGCATTTGGCTAATAGCTCTTATATTCTGAATAACCCAGAAAGAATATATCTGAGCTTCACTCCACTCAGCAGGCACACTAATCGGCTGAATAATCTTCGTCATTTCAGAAGATATGGGAGAAAGAGAATAATCAGGCTCTTCATTAATAGCCAAAACGCAAAGGCTATCACCCTCATGATTCGGAGATAACACCTCAAGAGGAACAACAGACCCAGTAGCCAAATGGTTGACATATTGGAAGAGATCAGAATTTAAAGAAAACTCATGATAGGGGACAGAGTCGACGTACCTCATCTCAGAGCAAAGCACGACCATATCTTCACCATCACCACTGTTAGGGCACAACTTCGACGCTGTGGGTGTGACTGGTGAAGGACCCCCCATGACTTGCTTGTTCAGCACTTTAGGGTCCAAGTCTTGGGTCTGGTTGGTTTGTTTGGGTCTCCATTTAACCTTCGAGCTCCTTGTTTTAAACTTTGGGCCTCTAGTCTTGGTCCCAAGAATTTTCTGGGCTTCCTTGCTTGTCCCCACGTGATCAATCCATTTTCCTTTTTCAGCCCGAGTGGGTTTGGGCCTATTCGTATTGGGTTTGGAAGAGATGGATTTAGCTTTTCCCCTGCTTAGCACAGGAAAGTGGTCACTAATTTGAATTTTGAATTTTGAAAAGATTGGGTCGGATCCCTTCTCTACCTGGAATGGTGACGCGCGGTCTGCTTTCAGCACCTCAGCAAAAGATTTCAATCCCACTATTCCAACCAGAATTTGCACACCGCATCTGCATTGAGGACAGTTGAAGAGAAGTGTGCATGCGGAAGGGTCGTCCGAAACATTGTGACTATCTGGGAGGCACACTGGAGGAACAGGTTTGGCTTTTTCAAAAGGACTTTCCAGCGGAACCACCAATAGCTCAAAGATTGCTGTCATCATGCGCCACCATCCCCCACCTTGGTAGCCCTCCGGAATGAAAATGCGTTTGAAGGAATTTCTGTTTACCTCAGATAGAACAAGCGTTCGACCTCTTCAATTCCGACAGAGCACGATATAGAGGTGTTGGGCATTATCAATCAATTTCTTGCCCCGCATGACTCCACTTTTAAGCCAATAAAAATCACTTAATGCGTCCACCAACCATTTGGCCTCAGCTTTATTCAGAGAGATTGTGGTGCGGGAGCCCCTCCCATTTTCACTAATTCTTGACCCATCAAGCTTTTTACCGTCACAAGCAACATCAAAAGATTTCCGGTCAACAAGAATGAAACGTTTGGAAACATTCGAGGACATTACAGGCTGGAAAAAAATTATTAAGGCAACGCCAGACGAGGCCGACCTCAGTCCTAGAGACCTTAGCAAGACCGAAAAATATTCTCCAAGCAGAGGGAAGGATAAGAAAATAAGATGGAATGGGTAGTTGTGACGAAGGAGCAAGAGGGATTAGAGAGAGAGTTTAGAGAGAAAGAGAGGGATCACATTACCCCAAATGCTTGTAGTTTTGTCTTCTCAAAGTAAGGATGCAAAATTACGAAATCTAACTTTCCTATATGTTTGTTGGAAATTTGGTAAGCAATGATTCTGTTTTCCAATTATCAAGGAAAAGTGCTTTATCTTCCATAACCGATCTTGTCTAATTGACTTTTTTAGAGCAAATTACCAATTTAGTTCCTAAACATTAACCTTTTTTATTTTAGTCCTAAATATTTTTTTGTTACAAAAGAGTCCCTAAATTCTTTAATTCTTTTCAAAGGCACTGGCAGCATTAATTTTAATAGGAAAAAACGGGACTTTTACAGAATATATATATATATATATATAGAACTCTCTCTCTTCTCTCTCCCCCTCTCCTTCTCTTCGAAGCTCTCTCCCTTCACCATGCAAATCCTCAACAAGAGATTTTATCATTTTCTTCAATAATCCACAACAAAAGTGCTTGGAAATATAAGGATTTAGAGAAATATAAGAAGATTTCATCATTTTCTTCAACAACCCACAACGACGGTGATCCAAAATATAAGGATTAGAGAAATATAAGAAGATTTCCTCATTTTCTTGACAATCCACTTCAGTAGAACTTCAACTATTGACATCAGCATTTCCATTTGGCTGATTGAGCCATTAAAAAATTTATCTGGATTTGATCTCACGGTAACAATGAGTCTTAAAACAGAAGCCAAGGGGCATTAGATGGACAATTTTGGTTCAGGGTTAAAAAGTAGGTACATATTTTATTTTTAAATATTCAAATTAGTCCCTGTACTATTTTTTTTTCACTTTTGGTGCTACTTAAAAAACTATATGTTATAGTCCCTGGCTGTTAAATGCCATTAACATCATCAGTGGTAATGCCATGCAGCAATAAGTTGGATACATGTCTGTTAAATATCAGCTGTCACGTGTTCGATGACTAGAGGAGAGCAGGAACCAATTGAATTGATTTAATTGGTTCAAACCGTACTGGTTAGGGGAACCGATTCGATTAAAGCAGTTCACTGCCCTAAATTAGTTTAACCAACTTGGTTAAACTGAAATTCTGTTTGATTATGGTTCGCCGGACCAGCAGACCAAGCCAAAAGAATAATCGAATATATATTTTATATTTAAATTATAGTTATATATAATATAATATATAATTATCCCCCAGTTCAGCCCTCTTCATAGTTAACCCCTACACTCGATCCTACAAACACCCTCAATCCTCAACAACTTCTAAAGTCTCTCACCCTTGCTCCCACATCTTTCTCAATTGAACCAGAGGAGGTCCAGTTGTGAGCCATCTAGAGTCCAGACCAGAACGGCTGAACCACAGGTCCACAAAAGCTCTCTCTCTAGTCTCCCCTGAGTCTACTCGACTCTCTCTTGTCTCTGTGAGTCTGTGCCTATTTCTCTTTCCCATCTCATCTAATATCTCTCCCTCATGATCTCACACTCTCACTCACTCAGTCACACTCACCAGTCACCCTCATCCTTCAGTCCAGCGGTCCCCCCTACACAGCACTCACCAGTCGCCCACCACAGCGAGGGTCCATGGTGCTCACCCTCAACTTGGATTATGTATCAAACTCTCATAAATATATTTTTAGTTTAATTTTGTATTTTTATTTTCATTTTATATTTAATGTGGCTGATGTTATTTCTACGCAAGTTTGGTTTTACAAAGTTTGGCTGCCAGCCAACTTGCAAGGAGAGGTTTTCTGCTTCTTTTTTGTTTTTGAGGAAATTTCTGCTTCTTGTTTTAATTAAGCCATTGGTCCAACTTTTGTTGGATTTATTAAAAGTCCTATGTCTCATTTGGGAACAAAAAAAAATTGGAAACCAACAAAAGAATTAAAAATTCTAAGTCCCATCCAGAACCGGTCAGTTTGATTTTGGTTGTAAGTCCTGGTTTGGTCAGTTCTGTTTGGTTAAGTGAGATACGTTGGTTTTTTATTTTTATTTTTAAAAAATGATATAGGTTGGTTTTTTCGGTTAAATTTTTTTTTTACCGAAATCAACCAAACTGACGGTTGCATACCCCTATTAGTAACATAGCATCTGACGTGGTGAGTTTTTAAAATCTAGGAATTCATGAACAGGTCCAGATAAATAAAGGCAATTGATTTGAACCTGCCTGTATACAATACTAACAAATTCCCAATGCCTCGTGGATGATCCTGACAACTTCCTCATTGATTTCCTCAATTGATGATGAGCTCTCAGGCGCGCCATCTGCTACCTTTTCCACTGACTCATAAATCTTCATGAGCCTTGCCTCCACCTACTTTAAAAGCTTCCCATAGGCCTCGCACATCTCATCAAGTGGCACTGTTGCTCCTCTGCCATGAAGGACACTATTGAAGGCGGTCCATGTTAGTAGGATGTGGACAAAGGACGAGTTCATCAAGTGATTTGGAGAGGGAAGTGGCAATCTCCTCCACTTTTGTGTAGGCCCTATCTACAGTCTTGTGGTCAAGGTGGGGGCCCAGTGTGTTGAGGATGAATCAGGTTTGGGTGATATTGAATATGGCATTGGTCATTGAGGCCAAGACCTCGGCTTGG